AGACTTATTTATGGAAGAACTGGCTAAACCTTTCTCCTTTTATCGGCGAAATGCTTCGGAGATGGCTGGACGAGTGCAAGAGACTAAGAGAGCTTCATAGTAACTGTCACTACAATAGGCAAAATGAGGCAACAGAAACGCCAACTCATGATGTTGAGCTGTTTCTCTTCTCTATTACCGAAATTTGGGGGATGTTTGGGCGAGTGCAGGGGACTAATAGAACCTGGTAGTAGTCGTTATTAAAGTAGGCAAAAAAAAAAAGAAAAAAAAAGAAGAGGCAACAAGGACAACATCTCGTGATGTTGAGCTGTTTCCTCTTTCCATTGGAGAGGGTTTCAGGATGGCTGGGCGAGTGCAGAATACTAAGAGAGGGCAGTGTCAACTGACAATATAGTAGGCGCAAAAGGAGGCAACAAAAAGAACAGCTTTTGATATGGAGCTATCACCAAAATTATAGAAGACATTAATAGATTATTAAAAACTGAATAATCAAGGAATAGGTTTAAGTAATTTTTGGGAGAGGATTTTACCGTTTGTGAAAATAATTCTTCATGAGTATTTGTTCCTCTTGTCATTTTTTATATGTTAAAATAATTTTGTCCTCTTCAGTGACTTGTAAATCGCAAATATAGATTTTTTCCATGTAATTACTTTTTCATTTGTGTTAGAATCCGGGAAACAAGTGGGACTCTTCCAACATGAAATTCAAAAAGTGTAGAAGGTTTTATCAAGTTGAATTTAGATCCTAAATCTGTGTTTATAAATAGTTATCTTGAGTGTTATTCTTTAAAAAAATAGAATTAGTTGGATAATTTTGTGGTTAGTAATTTGCTCGAAAATAATTTCATGAGTTGTTTGTTTTGTTTGATTATGCGCAAAGTCTTCAATATTATAAACCTTCAAGCTTACCATTGAACACCAGGGGGATATTTCATAAATTGAAAAGGACATAATTTTTGAGGTAAGTTTTCCTTTTGTTTATTCGTTAAAGATTCTGGTGAGTATTTGCAATTTCAAAAATATTAGTCTAAAACACCAAAACTCATTTCAATCTGCAAATTATATTTCTATTTTAGTTGTTGCTTTGAAAAGTAGTAAAACTTTTTTATAGCACTCTGCCAAGAACAGATTTTCATCTGCCTTTCGCAGAAGAGTTCAAGTAATGAGTTAAGAAATGGAACTGTTTTACATTTCTGAATAAACGTTTTAAAATATTTATTATTCCGAGCCATTAAACATTTGTATTTTTATTTTAGTAGCCACCTTAAATTTGAAACAAAATTGATTATATAATTCTTTAACATATAGGTTTGCACGATAAAGAATTATTTGGGTTTGTCATTACTAATTGTTACAGTCAAACTTGGGAAAATATAAAATATTAAGGCTTACTAATCTTTCGTTTTATTCTTATGTATAGTGTTTAACGTTTAGCATTTAAATTCTTAGCAATAATGTATAAACGCAGAATCAGAATGAGAGTTAAATAATCTGATGTAGATGCAAATACATTGTTATACTAATAGCATAATTGCTTAACCTTTCTCGTTTAGCTCTGGTTTGAGTATGTTAATCAATAACGCCTGTTTTGCACGCTAGCCCTGCTCATCACGACCTCTAACTAGACTGTTGAATATACCTTGATGTATAATTACATCATAATTCGTCTAAGACCTGGCATGCCTAGTGGTTATGGAGCTCGATTAACAGGTTGCGGGTTCGAATCCAGTTATCGAAAATGCTTGCTCTTTTAGCCTTGGGTGTTATAATGTGACGGTTAATCCCACTTCTCGTTGGTAAAAGAGTAGCCTAAGAGTTGACGGTGAGTAGTGTTGACTAGCTGCCTTATCGCTAGTCTATCATTTTTAAATTAAAGGCGGCTAGCACGGATAGCCTTCGAGTAACTTTGTGCGAAATTTAATAAACAAAACAAACAAACAAACATACACGCCTAACGTATAATCACATATACTAAATTTATTATTCATTACTACACTTGAATGTTCTTTTATGTGTGTTTCTAGCCATCTGCTGGTGGAATCTCTACTTAGAATTTCATCTTGGGCATTAAACCCATATATCACTTTAGGTGTTTTTAAATATGTTTGTTTGTTGTTAAGTGCAATCGGCTATCTGTGCCCACAATGAGTATCAAAACTCAACTGTTAGTGGCATGAGTCCTCAGACGTACCGCTGAATTACTGGGAGGCATTTAAATATGACATTCTATCATTATGACTAAACAAATTTTGTCTCCTATTTTTAGGCTTAGAAACTTCTAATAAATCTATCTGTGGCTAGACTTTATAATAAAAAGAGACACGTTATTGATTAACAAACAGGAGCTGAACGAGATTGGTTCTACAGTTAAACTATTAGTATAAAATAGTATTTGATGTAATGAAGGACTAGATTAATTATGTTCTTGACAAATGAATCACAGCAGAGATGCTACTGTAATATTACATTGCAATGAAGCAGTTTGAAAGAACAAAATCTCATCTAAGAAATGAATAAATAAGTGAATGGATGTATATGTATGTACGTGAGTAAATAATTTAAAAACACTAGTTTGGGGTTGTACTATAGGAAAATTACTGCTACTAACTCGACACGGGTTATGTTTAATATATTATTTACTACTATTATTTTCATTAACATTATTGGTTATACTAATTAGTATAGCGAATGCCATTACTTCTTAATTTATGGTTCATTATTATACTTTTATTATAAATATTGTTTTGCATAGTTAGCTTAAATGTGTATTTAGGACTAACATAGCTTAATCTCGTGAGATATTATTAGAATTGCGGCCGAAAATATCGTTAACGGAAGCAATGCATTCTAATCTAAGAAACGTTTATTTAATTAGCTATACTAATCGCCAGGTAGATTTTGAGGTTTACTTTTTTAAACAAACGTGACAAAACGCTATTGAACTTAGTTTATGAGTAATCGAATAAAAATAAACGGCCATGTTGTAAAACTCATGTCGTTTTGAGATTATGTAGACCTGCAGGCCTTAAAGAAAGTGAAAGAGTGAAGACGGTAAATGAACATTTATTATTTCTCCAATTCACAAAATATCAACGTCTTAAAACACATAAAACGTTTGTACAATTAATAACATGGCAATCAATATAAGAAATATATCAGAGAGTTGCACTGAAAATTCTTAAAGTTAAAAGTCTCGACTGAGAGCATTCCGTACGAACTGTAGGATAGTCAAAACAACGTTAAACGAGAATATTTCTTTCAGTAATCTCTTTGTCCTAATGTGAATTAAATGTTTTGGGTCTGTCTATCGTTTAAGGGAAACAAATGTGACAAAAGAACACATGAAAGACTTCACAAAAATACTTTGATTTATCACTTGAACTAAGAAGTTATGCTCAATTACAGTACAATAAAAGGAAGTATTTAATATTTTTTAAGAAATTAACATAGTTGAAATCAATATAGATACTTCTGTTTATATAGCTCCCTATTTAATCAAATACTCTTTTTATTGTATATATATATATATAAGTTAGTATTTCTTTTCCAAAAATGTTTAAAGACTGTACATTGATTATATGTTTGGCACAGCATTGAGGTAGAAATTATCAATCGTCAAAAATATCTTGGATAGAAAATAAACAATTCGCGGGGATTTCTTTACTTTGTCTGATACAACGGCAAGAAGTATTTGTTAAAACTCAATACTATGGACAATATAATTCCCACACATTGTGATTTATGAAATATCTGATTGTATTTGATTCCATTTCACAACATGTAACGCAACTGTTTTGAAAAAACAAAAACAAAACAAAAACTTCATAAACACACAGCAGGAGCACAAACTATATGCAAGTGAAGCATATTGATTAATACCATACAATTAATACGGTAATTGAAATATATATGACATGAAACTCCTGTATACCGTTAGGCATCACAGAACTCCATCTGATGTCACCGTGTTGGGTGAACTCCACCTGATATTACCGTGTTGGGTGAGCTCCGTCTGATATTATCACGATGTTTATAAAAATAAAGAAAAAGAACGACAGCAGTATCGAAGGAATTTTATTGCGTAATGGTTAAAGAACTTTGTTCTAAAACCTGTTTAAAAAACACGAAACTATTGGAATAGTTAAGTAATAAACGTTTCTACTGGACTCGTTTAATTGTGCGATTACTTGTATGTCTGAATTACAACTACTTTCGTTGGTCATCACTAATCTGAAATAACAACTCAATGTAATTTGAGATATGGAATAACGAGTTTCGTTATATAATATTCTTTTTGACAAGATATCATACACATATATATCAGAAGCTCTCAGTTTCATGACAAATTTCATCGAAAAAAAATTATATGAGTTTAAATAATTTTGTCATATGAAAATTTCATGAATTCGTGGCATCACGAATTAAATATAGATTGTAAAAAATTTACACTTTTGTAAACATCGATTTCAGTGCTAGTTTTCATAAAAATAATTATTTTATTTTAATAAGAACTCAGTGTTCTAACATCTTTCACATGATAATTCTCAAAGTTTAACAGCTATGATCATTATTAAAATTTTCAAAACGTAAACTAATTTTCATTTCCTGCAAAAAGTTATTCTTCGGCATCGGAACAATTCGGAAAAATTCTAACATAATTAATATAATTTTGAAAAACTGCGAACAAAATCAACAACAACCTGTTTACTACATTTTATCACATTTAACAGTTATCATAGAATAAAATAATGGTATATAAATATAACTAAATGTGTTTAACATAATATAATTTCATGACCCAAACTATTGTGTTAAAACATTTTTTTTTCTTATAAAGTTTTATTTAAGAACGCAATCATGTATTTGTGAATTCTTAAACAACTAATATTTTCTTGTTGTGGAAGACAATAAAATTTTCGAGTTTTATTTTAATATCCTTAAAAACTCTAATTAACATTAGTTATATATGATGAATTTAAATATGTAGATAAAATATATTTTAATATTTGTTTGATAGCTCATTAAACATACTTTCATGTAAAAGATTTACAATTTTTAAAGAAAAAACTCTTGTTTTTCATTTGCTGTCTATTTAGTAAGCTATAAGACATAAACACATTTTCTGGAGCTAGTCATTCAAAATCTTTATTCTGAGAATATGTGTACGTATATTTAATGTATCTAGCTACCTATCTATATATTACACATGTCTCCTGAATTACTAAAAATAATACCCTTTTTATGTTATTCTTTCAATTTTCAGCTAAACCATGTTACAGTTATCATGTTGAACCATTTTTCCTGTTTTAATCATCATCAGAATATTCTCCGAGAAAGTGAATGAAGTTCAAATAGTACAAACAAGTATTTACCACAGTCGTAAAATGTTAACGATAAATAACTAACGATTTTTAAGAGTTTAACAACAACATACAAAACACAACGTACATGCTTTTTATTATGCGGAGAAACATAACATATACCCGGATGTAACATTTCTATTCGCTCCTCATCACGATTTTCCTTCGTTTTCTGAGCGAATCAATACTGTAGTTTGATAACACTGAATAAACTTCCTATCTTTTCTTTCTTGATCACATATCCATGATTTAACTTTATTTATGTAATTTGTCAGTTTCACACTGAAGCGACTAGTGCATTTCTTTTTTTTTCTTCAAGAAATCAGTTTTCTAATATTCTAATGTAAAAATTGCTGTATATTAATTTCTTTTGCACCAGACCGATGGTAGTTCGTTTTTACCAATCCCAAAAAACATTATTCAACTTTCCTCCTTGGAAGCTTCTTGTTCCTGTCTTTCATCATCTTGTTCTTTCCAGTACTGGTAATTCGATTGGATGTGGTCAATTAATTCAGGAAAGTCCCCAAAAGCTTTATTTATTGAAAAAAAAATATTCTAAAAATTTTGAAATAAACAACCAAATAGGTTACAACGCATCTATTTATACTATTTCTCCGTATTGCTTACATACTTTTGATGTTTCATAAAACAATTTTACATAGTTTTCTGATCGACTTTACTTGAATGATATCGTGCAATATTGCAAAAATTCATGACAATGATGGTATTTCTAGGATATACTGTATTATTTGTAACTAATTCTATGTTAATATCAGTTTGTTAATTGTAAAACATTAGTAAGTTAACAAACAACAACAAATGTTAAGATTTGATTTGCGAAAAACTTATTTTAGTGACTGTTTTCGTAAAAATTGATATTGTTTTCGTTGTCACGATCACATGATACACTATTTTGGAAAATGAACTTACAAACGATGTTTAAATCACTCAGTTCAAAATGAATATTGTTAATTCAAATAAATGTTTAGACATAGAATTTTTCAAATGGAAAATAATTAAAAACCTACTAATGTTTAAGGTAATTTCTCCAAGAGATGTTCGTATTGAAAAAATCATTTAAAATTTGCAACAACATTTGAAATTTCAAAGGATAAACCATTTCATACACATATAGCTGATAAGTCTGTTAGCTTCTTAAAAATTAACTTTTGAGTCCTGAATAAAATGATCACTACTCACAAACATATTTCATCAAGTATAAAATGATTCATGTGAATTAATATTGGGGTTTGTTTTGTTTAGAGAGAGCTGCACATCTTGTTCACACTGTATCTACAGCGGAGATCGAGGAGTTAGTTCTAGCGTTAAAAATACTTTAGCTTATAACTAAGTATAATATGATTCATGTGCATTATTAATATTATGGTTTATTTTGTTTTTGAACAGAGCTGCGCAAAGGATTATTTGCGCTGTGTCTGCAGTGGGGATCAAGTCCTTAATTTTAGCGTTATAAGCCACGAACTTGTTTGTTTGTAGTTATGCACAAAGCTACACAATGGGCTATCTGTGTTCTGCCCACCACGGGTATCGAAACCCGGATTCTAGCGTTGTAAGTCCGCAGACAAACCGCTGTGCCACTGGGAGGGGGGGCAGTGTTTGTACTCACAAGATGACTACTTTGTGTTTCACTATGTAGTTTTATACACTTTCAGAATTTTTATTTAATGTTTGTTTAAGATTATCTTTGGACGTTAAAGTGGGAAATGAGAAGTTTCTATTTTGAAAGATTAATATATAAAACAGATCGGTTCAAAAGATTTTATGGCAACATACTGGAACGTTTTTGTTGTTGTTGTTGTTTTGGGGGGTAGACATTTTATGATAGCTTATTCCTAGTTCCTTATTAGGGCCCGGCATGGCCAGGTGGTTAGGGCGCTCGACTCGCAATCTGCGGGTTCGAATCCCCGTTACACCAAACATTCTCGCCCTTTTAGCTGTGGGGACGTTATAATGTGACGGTCAATCACACTATTCGTTGGTAAAAGAGTAGCCAAAGAGTTGGCGGTGGGTGGTGATGACTAGCTGCCTTCCCTCTAGTCTTACACTGCTAAATTAGGGACGGCTAGTGCAGATAGCCCTAGTGTAGCGTTGCGCGAAATTCAAAAAAGGCAAAAGTTCCTTATTATTTAGGTTCTGAATAAAAATTGAAAATATATTAAAATAAACGTTCCCACAACAGGAAACAATCATAATCACAAATTTAAAATAGAATAATATTTAAAATGTGACATTATGGTAGAATATTAAACATCTTCTTCTGGCTGTCAAATAGTAAAGTTTATAGTAGACGTAGCTTGTTTCTATTGCTGTCTTACAAGCGTGGCACGTGACACTATTATCTATTGCAAAACTGATACGTCACACTCACTCAAGTACATCAGTTTGTTTTCTTAAATTTGTTTAAACACACGCTATAATTCACAACGATTCACACAGATAATTGAGTCAAGTGAGCGGTAGTGACCGTAAGTAAAGTGCCTCTATATCTCTCTATCTGCAAAATGTATCTCTCCGCTTTACTTGCCGGACTTATATACTAAATAGAGGGAGTCTGGCAAACACTCGGGCCTTCATGATCCTTCTAGAAACTCATCACGTGTTACCAGCGTCACGTGACTTCCGCTGTCGTAACAACACGAATAAGATAAAAGTAGGAACTGAGTTTAACGATTTAATAGATACTCTTGTGAATGAACTGCGAGGTTTATGAGAAGACTTAGTTTGGTATGACTGAGGCTTTGAAATTGATTAATTCGATTAATTAGTGAGATATATAATGTCACCTCTTAAAAACAAAACAGAATTCATTCGAGTTAGCTGTCCTATTATAACGATAGTTAAGATTAATGCTAATTAGTGCTACATTCCCTTCTAATATAGTATAGTAGCTGTATTACCCGTCCCCTGGACGGAAGTTATGTAAATACATGATTAATAAAAGGTTATCTTATGAAAAGTCTCTTCCCTTATATGTAGTTGTAAAAAAAAATGCAAAGACGCCCATATAAACTGCAAAACACAAAAAGTGAAACCGAAAATTTGCATGTATCTTTGCATGGACCCAACAAACATCCATAGCAAATTTGGTGGAGATTCATCACCAAAGGGTGAAGTGGTGGTAAAAAACGCCCATAAAAATAGCAAAACGCAAAACCGAAAATGTGTTTGGACCCTTGCATGGACTTAATAAACCTCTATACCAATTTGGGTGAAGATCCATCCACACCCTGCAAAGTAGTTACATGGGCAAACAACAGATAGCACTATTATATTTATATAGATTTTGAAATTCGGGTAAACGACTCATTCAAGCATCTGCTATAGCAAAGTGTTTTTAAACATAAAGCTGTGTATTTAAACATTACTGATGATGCCTAATTTATATTTCCGTTATTTGAATTAACAGATTCACAAACAATCATTAAACACCCAGAATAGAGCTAACTAATAAAATTATACCATACAGTCAACGAATAAAATTTACACCATACAGTCAACCAATATAATTATGCTATACTGTCAACGAATAAAATACACTATATAATCAACCAATAAAACTAAACCGTACAGCCAGCCGATAAAATAAGACCATACAGCCAGCCAATAAAACTTAAATATACAGCCAACCAATAAAATTAAACAATTCAGCCAACCAACAACATTATACCATACAGTCAACCAATACAAATTGCATCATGCAGCCAGCGAATAAAATTACACCATATAGTCAAACAATAAAATTACAACATACAGCCAAACAATAAAATTACACCATATAGCCAACCAATAAAACTAAATCTTACAGCTAGCCAATGAAATTAAACCTTACATCTAACCAATGAAAATATACCGTACAGTGAACCAACAAAATTACAGATAGAAAGGGAAAAATAGTATTAAAGTCCAATGGTAGCCCAATTCAGTGTAAATAATTTACTAACTATTAACAACATTAGTAGAAGAACAGATAAAACAATTCAGTGTAAATAGCTTACCAAATGTTGACAACATTAGTAGAAGAGTGGATAGAAAATCTAATGTAAATACATTAATAAATTTTAACAGTAAAGTGGTTAGAACAATTCAATGTAAATAACTTACTAAGTGTTAATAATGTTAGTTATAGATTGGCTATAATAATTCAGTGTAAAAGCTTAGTAAATGTAAATGGCTTACTAAACGTTAACAACATTATTTGCTGAATGGTTATAAGATTCGGTGCAAATAACTTATTAATTGCTCATCAAGATAATAACACAAGCCTACGAATTTAAACTTCAAAAAAGTTGTTTTGGTTTTAATAACTGATACACCATAATACAGCTAACGGAGATTTCGAAAATAATATTCATTTTTTTCTATCACGTAAGGAGTTTTACAAATTGGGAAGAAAAAAAACTCTTACTTAGATCAAATTATTACTCGTTTACCACAACTAACATTTTTTTATTATTATGTTTGTTAATAAAAATACAAACAAACTGAAGAAAAGGGAAGAACGTTGATGTTAAACGAATATGCATCCCCATTCATCGTGATTTTTTTTTTGAAATCTACGTCTTTTAGTGTCAAAACTACGTGTGTGGTCTTTCTTTTATGCGTTACAACGTTTTGTGAAAAATCTGTACGTGATGTAGAAAAGTGGATATCATTTTCGGATTCAGTGTACTGTAGAATATGTAAAAATATCAAGACAATAAAACCATCGCAGGCCTGTGTAATTTAGAATCCTTTCTTTATCATTATTATGCAATCCGTTATTAATGTTATTACATCTATGGAAGATTCTATTATATCTATTACTGAGTGAAAAACTCAATTATAGAAATAATATTTGCTTATTTCAGATATTGGTACAAAGTTACAAACGTACTATCTGCCTTGGCTTTGCATAATTTTCCAATAGATTAGAGGGAAAGCAGCCAATCAACACCACCCACCGCCAGCTTTTGGGTTGTTCTAATCAAGTAGTAGGGTATGACGTCATTCTTTTAACGCACCCACGGCCCCTACTCTGCAAGTTCGCGGTTTTTGCAGTAACATAATGCGAACTAGGCGCCTGAGGATTCGCATTCCGACGCGTTAAATCTCAAGTCAGGCCAGACTAAACTATGCCGAGAGACAAAATTAGGTAGGGGGTGGTCGTAATCACGTTGTGTGTTGCTCACGTCTGTAGGCCGTGAATAGCCTAGTGGTTAGCGTGAATGAACGTGAATCCGAGGATTCAAGGTTCACATCACACTGCCGTAAAGAGGGCGCTCCGTACTCTGGGGCTATGGGTGCAAAGGTAGTCCAAGAGTTGAGGTGAGTGCTGTTACTTAGTTGATTTCTTTCTAGTATTTCACTAGAATTAGTAACGATCAAGCGCAGATAGCTCTTCTGTAGCTCTGGGCATAAATTCGAAACAAACGAATAGACTGTCCACGAAACAAATATAATTTCTAATAGTTATCCATGGTTTCAATGATACTACCAGAGTTTCAGACATTTTTCATGTGAAGCATTTCCAGAAAGAAAGCGGAGAAATAGAGTTACAGTGTATATATGTAAATAATATCAAGGGTAAAGAAAGTGGAGAAATAGAGTTACAGTGTATATATGTAAATAATATCAAGGGTAAAGAAAGCGCAGAAATAGAGCTACAGTGTATATACGTAACCAATATCAAGGGTAAAGAAAGGGGAGAAACAGAGCTACAGTGTATATATGTAAACAATATCAAGGGTAAAGAAAGCGGAGAAATAGAGTTACAGTGTATATACGTAAACAATATCAAGGGTAAAGAAAGGGGAGAAATAGTATTACAGTGTATACATGTAAACAATATCAAAGGTAAAGAAAGCGGAGAAATAGTGTTACAGTGTATATATGTAAACAATGTCGAGGGTAAAGAAAGTGGAGACATAGTACTACAGTGTATATATGTAAAATCAATGATAACTATGGAGATTTAAAAAGTCATGGAATCTTCTCTGTTGTGTAGGCGAAAACAAAAAATAACACGGGCTTGCGATGGTTTTATTGTCTTGAAATCCTTACATGTTCTACAGTAATACCTGTACGCTGAATCCGAAAATGATATCCATTTTCTCAATCATTCACAGATTTTTCAAAAAACGTCTTATGTACTTTTACATAAGTGGGTCATTGAAATCTGATCACATTTTTTATGTTTAGAATGTTTACAACCACTGGCTATAGATTTTTCTAGACCTATCGCGACATCTTATCGATCGTTCTAGAACCCACGAGAAACACACCGCTAGTATATAAGCTGTTAACAGACCGCATGACATGTTATTTCTGGATAGTATTTGTTAGAAAATTATTATTTTTTTCTTTTCAATACTATTTATTCGTTGCTCTGGCAACAAGAAGCTGTGTAAATGACCCAAACATATCCTGTTATATTTGTGGTAAATTTGTTGTAAAGAAACAAAGGCAAAACATTACATAATTCTTGCAAAAAGTGTATTACGCGTATTTTGGAATAAAACTTGGGGACCGAGACAAATAATAAAATCCGCACAAAGTTTGCACCGTTTGTGTCAAAGAGTTGGGACAATGGACTAAAGGTAAGAAAAAGTCTTTGCCTTTTGGAATTCCAATGGTCTGGTGTGAGCCTAGAAATCATGAAGATGACTGCTGGTTTTGCTCATGTAACGTGCAAGGCTACAACACTCGAAATATAAAGGAAATTTCTTATCTGAACCTTCAATCTGCTATAAGACCTGTTGCTCATGAACCTGATGTACCTGTACCTACTCCATCATAGACTCTTGATACAGTTTCATCTGATTATAAATTTGATGTCAATAGAGATGATGATAGGGAATGTTTTCAACCTGAAACGTCTGGTGAACCATAACTTTTCACACAAGGTGAGCTTAGTGATTTGGTGAGGATTCTTCAGAGATTTTGGGGTCCAGACTTCAGGCTAACTTACTTTCTTCAAGGACTTCATTTTACTGGTACAGAAACCGTGAGAAAGAGTTTATACCATACTTTTCACAAGAAGGTTCACAGATTTATTGCAACAATATTGCTGAATTAATACCAATGCTAGGAGCTGCAGTCTATGAACCAAGTGAGTGGTGACTGTTCATTGATTCCTCCAAAATAAGTCTAAAAGGTGTTCTCCTTCACAATGGTAACATATATACTATTGCTCCTACGAAAATATCAAGCTTTTTCTTAATAAGGGCAAATACAAAGAACATGGTTGGCTACTTTGTGAAGACTTAAAAGTCCTTTGAATTTTGTTGGGTCAACAATCCGGTTATACAAAGTTTCCATGTTTTTTTGTAGGAATGGGACAGCAGAGCACGAAATCAGCACCGGATAAAGAAGCAATGGCCACTCAGAGTCAGCCTGATACCAGGGTCGAAAAACATTGAACGTAAAAGTTTGGTTGACACAAAGAAAGTCCAATTACTTCCACTTCACATATAACTGGGTTTGATGAAGCAGTTTGTAAAAGCCTTAGACAAAGATGGCGAATGTTTTAAGTAGTTATGTGGGCAATTCTCGGCTCTTTCAAAGGCAAAACTTAAAGGGATTTTTTGTTGGGTCTCAGATTAGGAAATTGACTTCAGATGAACAGTTCGAAAGAACAATGATTGTTTGTTTGTTTTTGAATTTCGCGCCAAGCT